TCCTCAGACCTCAACCTTTTGAATAGTTAGTATAATAGGTGTGAGCCACTGGCCCCTGGCTTTTTGAATTTTTAAACTTTGTAGTATTGCAATTCTAAAAGTGTAATTAAGTCACTATGTTTCCACTAAAACTTAATTTAATTAAAAAAAAAAAAACTAGACTGTATGAGTTGGAGGCCCAGTTGGTAGAGCTCTAGCCAGTAAACAAAAGTGGCAGGTGTTGAGTTCAAGTTCTGGTCTCAGATCTTAAAAAAAAGAATGAGTGTATCAATAATATTTTAATCTATTTTACAGGTTCAAAGAAGAAGAAAAGTGCCAAGCCTTTAAGTTTTAAGGTTGGAGTAGGTAAAGTTATCAGAGGAGTAAGTAAAGAATGGTTAATCATATGCTTAATTTGCTATGATGTAAATAATGAGATAAAATGAAAGTAATTGTTTCAGTCAGACACATTGGATATTCTCATTGCTAGGTGATCTGGCATCAGTTCTCTTGTTTCCTATTCAGTAGTATCCACACTTCTGAGGTTATTACAAGATTAAATGAACATACCTTAAAACATCAATGTAGAAGGGACCGAAGTATTAGTTCCTTCAATTTCTTTTTTTCTTTTTTTTCTTTGGAGTCTGGTCATGGGCTTGAACTCTGTCCCTCAGCTCTTCACCTCAAGGCTAGCACCCTACCATTTGAGTTGAAGCCTTATGACACACACAAAAAATAAAAGTAAAAAGAGAGAATTTATATGTAATCTGGAAAGGGAATGTAGATAATGTGGAGAGGTAAAATATTTGTCTCACTGAACTGCTCAGTTTGTTTCTGTAAAAATATTTTTGAAACATAAACTAGGCATACTTTACCCACCTGTATTACACTATATTACTATACTAGTGTTCAAAACTAGATGTAATGAAAGGTAGCAGTCAGCTTCACAGAATCACATTTCCTTTTTTTTTTTGGGGGGGTCCGGTCATGGAGCCTGAACGCTGGGCCTGGGCGCTGTCCCTCAGCTCTTCAGCTCAAGGCTAGCGCTCTACCACTTGAGCCACAGCACCACTTCCGGCTTTTTTCTTTTTTGCTTATGTGGTGCTGAGGAATCGAACCCAGGGCCTCTTGCATGCAAGGCAAGCGCTCTACCACTGAGCCATCTTCCCTGCCCACCAGAATCACATTTCCATGCCAGGTTCTGACCATTGTTTTAAGATCATGTATTGAGAACTTCAAAAATAAGGTCATAAGCTTTTCTTGGTGAGGAAGGTGACAGTGGGCAGTCCTGAGTCTTGAACTCAGGGCTCAAGGTTATTTTACCATTTAAGCCACAGCTCTACTTTCAGATTTTTAAAAATTGGAGATGAGTCTTCACTTTCCTGCCCCACCTGGCTCCAAACCAGGATTCTCAGAGCTCAGCCTCTTGCGTAGGATTACAGGCATGAGCCAGTAGTACCTGGTTATGGAATATCTAAAGTATCACTCTTTGCCAGTCCTAAGGTTGGGTTTACTCATACTCAGCTTAGAGAATACAAAACATCTTGGCTGGGTGCTGGTGGCTCTTGCCTGTAATTCTAGCTACTCAAGAGGCTGAGACTGAGATCTGAAGATCTCGGTTTAAACCCAGCCCACCTGGGCAGGAAAGTCTGTGAGACACTTATGTCCAATAAACTACTTAGAAACCTGGAAGTGGCTCTGTGGCTCAAGCAGTAGAGTGCTAGCCTTGAGCTGAAGAGCTGAGGGACAACGCCCAGGCCCAGAGTTCAAGCCCCACACCTGACAAAAAAAGAAAAAAAACATCTTGCAACTAAAGGCTTAGTAGAAAAGCTCAGTGTTTAGTGCATTCCTACTATATAGAGGTAACTATCAAGTAAATTTTTTCTCCATTGAAGTTTATGTGATTGTTGCATTTTAACAGTATGATTATATTGTCTTCACTGCCATTTAACACTTGTAGGACTGGATTTAAGATCTAAATGTGATAAAAGGGGAAAGGCAACCAAGAACAAATCAACATTTCTTTGAAAACTTTGCCTTATTCAAAAGATCTTGGTGCTCTAACAGGATAAGTTTGTAAGCATACAAGTTGTGGAATCTACCCCCAGAGAAAAAAAGCTTTTGGAGTAAAATTCTCATAATGGTGCTGACTTTTATAATGTGAGATATTGCACTAATATTCATGTTGTATCATTTAGAGAGTTTGACCATTACATTGAAAAAGCATTTTTCCTTTTTTCCCGAGAAAATTAAAGACAGATTTAGCACTCAATCAGGTATAATGCCTTAAGACAATAAAATACAATAACAGGCTGCTTTTATGAATGATTTTTGTTGTTCTGTCTTTTGAACATTTTTATTTTTTTACTTTGCTCTTGTCTTTAGTGGGATGAAGCACTTTTGACTATGAGTAAAGGAGAAAAGGCTCGACTGGAGATTGAACCAGAATGGGCTTATGGGAAGAAAGGACAGCCTGATGCCAAGTATCCTTTCTTTTTTCCCTTCGTAACTAAAAGCAGAAACCTAAAAGCACCTGAAGATGTGAAAGGTGTTATTAAAGATGTGAAAGATGTTATCTAGACTAGCCTCCAGATCAGATCAGGATTCCTGTCCAGAATACTCTTGCTGTTCACATATTTATGTGTCAGCATTTAACAGATGGTACTTTTTTTGATGGAGTCTCACATTGCCCTGGCTGGCCTTAAGAATCCTTCCCATCTCGGGGCTGGGAAGGTGGCTCAGTGGTAGAGCGCTTGCTTTGCATGCAGGAGGCCCTGGGTTCGATTCCTCAGCACCACATAAGCAGAAAAAAAAGCCAGAAGTGGTGCTGTGGCTCAAGTGGTAGAGCGCTAGCTTTGAGCTGAAGAGCTGAGGAACAGTGCCCAGGCCCAGAGTTCAGGCCCCACGACTGGACCCAAAAAAAAAAAGAATCCTTCCCATCTCAACATCCTTACAAAGGAATAACTGTAAAACTTCTGACCCACCCAGCAGATACTTCTGTTGGTGCAAGGTGTCTCATTCTCTTATTCTTAATTTTTAAGATCTTAAATAGAAAAGTTGCATTTCTGAAAGGCAATTCTTACTTAGATGTCTGAAGAAATTACTTTGAGTAGTTACAAGGCACAATACAACTTTTAGCAAACTATATATTCATCAGGACAGTTTTATACTATGGTATAATTTAAGGTTAAATGAATAGAAGTATCAACTGTAATGAGAACAGGACAAATAGTGTAAAGAAATATATTTATTAATGTTAATCACAGTACTTCTGATAGGCTCAGTAAACACAAAACCAAAAGGCAATCATTTGAGATTATTCAGGCTAATGTATAGGAAAATGGGAAGGTAGTTTATAGCTGTTGGTTTTATTCTTGTTTTGTTGGCATAGGTTTTAGTCTTACTAAACATAGCCAGCTGCAGTTTCCTCTTACATGGATCATGTATTGACAGGTTATGATTTCCATTAAGGTACTTATTGCTAGTAATGCATCACATTCTAAATCAAACTCTAAGCTTTTATTTCCTCCGATTTGAGACAGTATTATTTCATTTCACTATATAATAGTTCAGTCACTCTTATCTTCCTGATTTTAGCACTTTTCCTGCCTCAATCTCATAAATACTGAGGATATACTATCACATCCAGCAAAAGCTCTAGGGGTGAAACCCAGAACATAATTCTGATTTTATACCAAGGTTATTGTGGGTCAGGATGAGGCACTTTTTGTCAAATTTACCTTGACTTTCAACAGAATTCCACCAAATGCAAAACTTATTTTTGAAGTGGAATTAGTGGACATCGATTAAAATAGTTCTTCAGATCTGAAGAGATCAGCAGTGATAAAACTTGGCCTTGAAACTTGTGTTGGAATAGTCAACTGGAAAATCCAAGGAGTTAACCCATGTTTATACTTGATACCAATTTTTGAGAAATGCAATCCCGTATAAGTCCCACAAATCTAAAATATTTTGGTATAGCTGTGTAAAATATTGGTTAAGGAGTACTTTTTCCTTTTACCTCATGTTGTAATCTAAAAGGCTCAATAAAATCTTACCAACTATATCTTTGATTGGTTTGGTGTTAACTTGTATTAATGCTCTGATTTGGAATACAAAGTGAGTAATTGGAGATTTTTGCCTTTATCCCTTTTGTCTTTATCCCAATATGGTTAAGAAGCTAAGGATGCTAGGTGCTCACACCTGTAATCCTAGCTACTCAGAAGTCTGACAGCTAGCTACTCAGACAGCCTGGGCAGGAAAATCCCCGAGACTCTCATCTCCAATTAACCACCAGGAAACTGAAAGTGGCACTGTGGCTCAAGTGGTAGAGCACTAGCCTTGAGCTTTTTGAAAAGCTCAGGGACAGCTCCCAGGCCCAGAGTTCAAGCCCTACGACCAACAACAACAAAAGAAGCTGAGGGTCTAACTGGGCGCTGGTGGCTCACACCTGTAATCCTACCTACTCAAGAGGCTGAGATCTGAGGTTCACAGTTCAAAGCCAGCCCAGGCAAGAATGTCTGAGACTCATCTCCAACTAACCACCAGAAAAACTGGAAATGGCACTGTGGCTCAAGTGGTAGATAGCTTGCCTTATGCTGTGGGATAGTGTCCAGGCCCAGAGTTCAAACTCACAACTGACCCCCCCCCCAAAAAAAAAAAGGCCAAGGGTATATGTAGAACTTTTTTTTGTTGTTGGTTGTGGGGTTTGAACTCTAGGCCTGGGTGCTTTCCCTCAGCTCTTCACTTCAAGGCTAGTGGTAACTTGAGCCACAGGGCTACTTCCTGACTTTTTTTCTGCTTATGTGGTGCTGAAGAATCAAACCCAGGGCCTCAAGCATGGGAGGCAAGCACTCTACCACTGAGCCACCTTCCCAGCCCTTTAAGCTGAAAGTTCAGAGGGCTAAGCCATCTTGGCAGAAGTTCATTATTCCTTGATAAATTGGAAGTTCCGCAACACAAACCACTAGTAATACTGAATATGTATTAGGTGTTCTCCCACAAAATGAATTCATAAGCAATTGCTGGATGAGTCTTCAGCTTTATTACAAAAATGAAGATGATCAGTTTGATCAAAATGAAAGCTTGTTCACAAGTTTTACATGAATATTCTAAGTACAAAGTCTCTGGAAACAACATACTTTTGATATGATTTTCATTTATAACGGGATGCAAATGTGACACTTTCTCATTTATAATCTATCCCCAAGGCATGGTCTTTTAATAGTTTCTTTTCTGAAATTAGCTCCAAATTCACAAGTACAACGGAAACATTCTGATAACATCAACAAGGTTAAAAAAAAATCATTGTTTTCTTTTTCCCTGTTTTTACAGAAGAAATCCCTAATAACCAGCCCTTATGTGTTTTCAGAATCTGTACTACACTGACATGATTGGCAGTCAGTTTTTTCCTCTACACTTAAGGCTATAAAACTCTTGCAAGTGCATTGCAAAAGAATCCTAGACCACTTAATGCAAAAAAATAAAAAAAATAGTTCTCCAATACAAAGTAAAATTTATAAACGGTAGGAAATAGTATCTGGTAAGCTACTAATTGACATTTCCCTTATTACTAAACAAATCATGTTACACAAAAACAAGGAAGACAAATTATCAAATAAAACAAGCTTATGCTGTGTTTACATCCCTCATTTAAAAACTGATCCTTTTCATACACTCCCATCTGATTTGTTTCCCATCAGGTTGGAGGAGGAGGATAATACTGTCCATAATTCCAAGGATTCTGATAATTGTACTGAAAAGAAAAAGCAAACATGTTAGGATTCCAGAACTATAGCTGGATTCCATATATTAAACTAGTATAAGAAAATAGATGTGTTCATTGTTGAAATCCTAACAAACCACAAAAAGCATTGATTATACAAAACAATGGCAAAGGTGTGTTCTTTCAAAGAAGCAAAAAGTACAGGCATAAGTAACTCATATCTTTAATCCCAGCTACTAGGGAAGCTGAGAAGTGGAGGATCATGGCCATTTCTGCCATCCCTGGCAGAAATATCCAGGGACTCAATTTCCAGTTAACCAACAAAAATCTCAACAGTAGGCATGGCTCAAGTGGTACACCAGTTATAAGCAAGAAAGCCAAGCCAGCATGAGGCTAAGTATCAGCAAGAAAAAAAAAATTATGTGGACTCACTTGATACCAGGCACTATAATTATATGCAGCTTGATTTGCCTGTAAATCACCATCAATCATCTGTGTAGATGATGGTGTATCTTCCATGTGTGCTTTCTTTTCTTCTGGTTCTTCTGATCTATAGAAAAGGTCAAAACAAACTTTCAATCAAAACTCACAGTCAGGCGCCGGTGGCTCTCGCCTGTAATCCTAGCTACTCAGGAGGCTGAGATCTGAGGTCATGGTTCAAAGCCAGCCAGGACAGGGAAGTCTACGATCTCGAGTAAACCACTAGAAAAACAGGAAGTGGCGTTGTGGCTCAAGCGGTAGAGTGCTCACCTTGAGCTGAAGAGCACAGGGACAGTGCCCAAGCCCAGAGTTCAAGCCCCACGACCGACCAAAAAAAAAAAAAAAGGCCCTCACACAGGGCATTCTAGATGAATATCATCTATGTATATTTAACTGAAGTCTCTTTTTTTCATTTGTCATTCATGCGATTTGAACTCTGGGCCTGAGCCCTGTCCCTCAGCTCTTCAGCTCAAGGCTAGTGCTCTACCACTTGAGCTACAGCGCCACTTCCGGTTTTCTGATGGTTTATTGGAAATAAGAGTTTCACGGACTTGCCTGCCCAGGCTGGCTTTGAACCGCTATCCTAATATCTCAGCTTCCTGATTAGCTAGGATTACAGGTGTGAGCCACCAGTGTCTGGCTCTTTTTTCTCTTTTTGGTGCTGTTCTGAAGACATCTAGTGACGAATATATAGCTGGACAGATGCTGGAAAACAACAGGTTGAACTCAACAATTCTCTTTTTTTAATGCATTCAATCTCTTCAAAAATAGTGTATCCTGGGGCTGGGAAGGTGGCTCAGTGGTAGAGCGCTTGCCTTGCATGCATGAGGCCCTGGGTTCGATTCCTCAGCACCACATAAGCAAAAAGAAAAAAGCCAGAAGTGGGGCTGTGGCTCAGGTGGTAGAGCGCTAGCCTTGAGCTGAAGAGTTGAGGGACAGCGCCCAGGCCCAGAGTTCAGGCCCCACAACCAGAGCCCCCCCCCAAAAAATAGAGTATCCTAAGAACTTTACTTTGTCATGTATTTCTGAAGCATCCTGACATATGACCTCTGATAGATTCAAAGTCTATCAGATTATCTGCCCAAAGCACAGATGAAACTGTTCCATCCCCTCCTCAAAGAACCCTCTGCCACCATATATTGCATGTTTTTCAGCAAACCGGACAAAGCCTTTTCTAGTCAGCCTTTTCTAGACTTGTAGCCTTACTTCTCACTTTCCAAACTTACAACTCTCCAGCTACATTGGCAGATCACATTGAGATGTCACTCAAAGCAGCAAAACAGTGGCCTTATTGTTCAAGTCTAAAGGTATTTTATTAACCCTGGTAGTGTTTTTAATGCTTTCATATGAAAAATCTTTATTTTTAACTTCACAAAAATTAAAGACTCTCTTACCCAGTATCCATGTTCTTGCTAAACTTCAGTTGAGTTGATCAGTTTTGGAGTTTAAATAATCTCAACACTCTCCTACACTAGAACATGATCTCACTCATGTTATTACCATCTGCCTGCCTTTAATCTGTCATCCTTACTCAGAGACCTTAATTCCCAACTACTTAGAAGTTTGTTGACCCCATTCTGCACTCAACCTACTGGCTTTTTAGTTTTTTTTTTCTTCTGCCAGTCTTGGCGCTTGAATTCAGGATCTGGGCACTGTGCCTGAGCTTTTTTTGCTCAAAGCTAGCACTCTGCCACTTGAGCCACCACACCATTTCTGTTTTTTTCTGTTTCTGTGATACTGAGGAATCGAACCCAGGGCTTCATTCATGCTAGGTAAGTATGTACCACTCAGCCACATTCCCAGCCCACCCTACTACTGGCTTTCTAACTCAAGTATCCTCCCCACAGCACAGCCCACTGAGATGGGTTACCAGGTTGTCCAGATGAAAGGCCTTCATTCTTGTTTCAAAGCTTCTCAACCACCCATTTTACATCTTTTTCAAATCAGTAAAAACATTCATATCTGAGTTCAAATTCCATGACCAAACCAACAAAAATTTAAAAAATAAATATACAAAAATGTTCACATCAAGCCGGGAGCTGGTGGCTCACTCCTAGCTACTCAGAAGGTGAGATCTGAGGATCAAGGTTCAAAGCCAGCCTGGGCAGGAAAAGTCCATGAGACTCTTATCTCCAATAAAAACCACTGGAAAACCGGAAGTGGCACTGTGGCTCAAGTGGTAGAGAGCTCGCCTTGAGCTAAAGAGCTGAGGGACAGCACCCAGGCCCAGAGTTCAAGCCCCACGATCAACAGGAAAAAAAAAAAAGTTCACACCAATGGTTGATAAAGTATTAAGAATTATTTGTCTTTACGAGTATGTCGACACTGAAATGTCTTACATATCTCTTCCTGATTTAGCAGTAAGTTACATACCCATTTTCTGCTTTGCGTTTTAAAGTATCTTGTTCTTTGAGGAGTGTTTGATGTTCATCATAAGCATTCAGAAGCCTAAGGGGGAAGAAGACAACAACAAAAAATATGTCCTTTGTACTATACAAAAACAAACTTAAAAAAATTAAGTAATTCTTATTTAGATAACCTGAGCATATAAATTTCTACACAGTTCATTTGTCATCGTTTTTTTCTGTTCTCAATAACAATCTTAATCACAAGACTTTTTAACTGAAAGAGCCAAAAATATATCTTTGTGTTAAAACTCTGTATTTATCTGCTGATTATTGCCAAATTAAAATGAAGTATCATTTAATTTTGCTTGTCTAACCTTCAATAGCTGGATATTGTCAACTGCCTACTACAAGTGCTCTGAACTGACTTATGCCAGCAAAGTCAAGATCACACTTCTGCTGGGCGCCAGTGGCTCATGTCTTTAATCCTAGCAACTCATGAGGCTGAGATCTGAGGATCTTAGCTCAAAGGCAGCCCAGGCAGGAACATCCATGAAACTCTAATCTCCATTAAACCACCAGAAAATCATTAGTGGTGCTGTGGCTCAAAGTGGTAGTGCACTAAGAGCTAAGGGACAGTGCCCAGGCCCAGATTTCAGGCTCTACAACTGACCTAAATAAATAAATAAAGCACACTTCTGGCACTGGGTAGAACACTTGGAATAGCATTTACAAGACCTACGTTCCACACTTCTACTGCACAAACCCTCCAAAGGCAGATGTTAGTTTCATATAAGTCTTAATCTGTTTTCAGTCTTTCCTGTTTATCATAATATAATAATAATGAAATGAGGTTCCATCTCCTCTATGACGCATGATGTAAAGAGACTAACCTTCTTGAACAAGTATGTGACCTCATACATTTTTTCTTAGAATACCATTTAACTAAAACCTAGAATTATGTATTTGATAATTACATATTTTTGTACGAAAATGACATTAAATACACAAAAATATGAGACAGGATCAGTCTTTGAACAATGTTCTATTTCTAATCCTTTAAGTGACTTTGGAAAAAAGGCTGTATGTCTTAAGCCTCTCTTCATCTATTAAAAGAACAGTACCCAGACTCATTAAGGTATTAGTTTTCCATTAAATAATAATTATGAAGTATTCAGCATTGTGCCAAGCATGTAAATATTAACTGTTGTATTAGTTTAACTGAAATTTAAACAACTATCAAAAATGTATATATACATAAATACAAACGTATACAATTCTTAGCTTATGGTTAGTGATTTCAGTGGAAATCAATATAAGGATACAGAAAACTTAGGGTTAACAGATACTGAGTATTTCTTTACTAGAATCAATTTAAGACTAGAACTTCAGTAATGACCTAGTGTTTTTACTCTTCACTTCAACAAATATTAATGTTAAATTTGTCCTTTTTCCAGTCCAGAGCAAATTTAAAATACCTTCAACTTTCAGCTTTTTCATTGCAGGATATAAAGGCATTAGGCATGACTGATGAGATTGTATACCCTCTTTCCTAAGCTCAGATAACATGTCATTCCAAATTCAGATTAATACCATCTAACTATTATTTGTGTTTGTGTTTCAGAAGACTAAAGCTTGGGCTTTATACATGCCACAAGCAAGCACTCTCCCACACTCCCAAGCTGCATCTTACGCCCAAATACCCTTATTATCCTACAGACTAAATATTGATGTAATTTTTGCATTAATACTTATGTCATTTCCCTTTTCACATGATTGATGTTTCCTATTTTCATTCACCAATGATATGAATTTTCATTGTAAAAACAAAGAAAATAGTTTCAAAGAGAAGACAAGGTATATATACTCTTATTAAGTATACATATATTCAGAAAACTGAATTTAACCCCACATTTTTTTTTTTGCCAGTCATGGGGCCTAAACTCTGGGCCTGGGCGCTGTCCCTCAGCTCTTCAGCTCAAGGCTAGCACTCTACCACTTGAGCCATAGTGCTACTTCTGGCTTTTTCTGCTTATGTGATTCTGAGGAATTGAACCCAGGGCCTCATGCACGCAAGGCAAGCACTCTACTACTGAGCCACCTTCCCAGCCCCCCCACATATATCTAAAAGTAGTGAAAAAAACATTTTTAAATGTAACAATATATTAATCTCTATAGTAATCACCAAATTATGACCCAAAAATATATCAATGCTCATTCCCCATTGAAGTAATGCATTTAAGAGCTTACTTATTAACATCTGAACCAAAATCTTCAAGAAATTCCACTTTTCTCTGAGAGAATGTAATTCTCATTTTAATAGCTAATGAACCATGTATAGCTTTGTCAAAACAACTTAGAATATTTTCTTCATTTTGTTTGAGGTCGCCACTATATTCCATTTCAAGTAAATTGAGGTACAACTTGGTGTTCTCCTGTGTAAAAATCAGTACCAATTAGTATCTCTATTTTATTAAAAGAATAGATTTTATAAAAAGCCTTAATTTCTCAAGTCTCGATTTTAAACTCAGTAATACAACTCATAAACTTTAGTTTATTAATAGGTAGTGACATCATCCCACTATCTCCCAAATTATGCAGATTTTTTTCATTCTTGCCAATAAATTGGATAATCTGACTTGTCATACTAGACAGAAATATACCAAATGCTGGTGGCTCAGCCTGCAATCCTAGCCACGTAGGAGGTTCAGATCTAAGAATTCTGACTTGAAGTCAACTTATCTCTAATTACCAAAAAGGTCAGAAGTAGAGCTGTAGCTTAAACAGTAGAGCTAGCCTTGAGCTTCACTAAAGGAAAGTGCACAGGCCCTGAATTTAAGCCCTAGTATTGCTGCACACATGCATACACACAGACACAAGAAATTTTAAAAAAATTTTACAGTTCCTATTATTAAATAGCTTAGATAGCTTCAACTGCAGCTAGAGGGGATTTGTCTTAAACAAACTTGTTAGTATACAAAAACCTAAAAAATAAGGTATTTGCAGCATATGGGCTTTTGTCAATTGTTATTACTGTTCCTGGTTTTGTAATAAAGTGTTCTCCTAGGCAATGTTTGTTCAACTTGTCTGTAAACCTGTAAAAGTTCTAAAGATGAGCCAGGCATAGGTAGCTTATACCTGTAATCCTAGCTACTTGGAAGGCTGAGATCTGAGGATCACCGCTCAAAGCCAGCCTGGGCAGGAAAGTCCAGGAAGGTCCATGAGACTCTTATCTCCAATAAACTATCAGAAAACCAAAGTGGCGCTGTGGCTCAAGTGGTCGCAGGTGAGCCTTGAGCTGAAGAGCTCGGACAGCGCCCAGGCCCAGAGTTCAAGCCCCAGGACCGACCAAAAAATAAAAATAAAAAAAGTTCTAAAAAGTGTCACGATGTCTGCAAACTTTTTAAACTAGTAATCTTAATTTTCTTTGTTTTTTGTCGGTCCTGGGGCTTAAACTCTGGGCTTAGGTGCTGTCCCTCGGCTCTTCAGCTCAAGAGGAGCACTCTACCGCTTGAGCCACAGCACCACTTCCAGTTTTCCAGCGGTTTATTGGAGATAAGAGTCTCAGACTTTTCTGCCCAGGCTTTGAACCGTGATCCTTAGATCTCAGCCTCCCGAGTAGCTAGGATTACAGGCGTGAGCCACCGGCGCCTGGCAGTAATCTTAATTTTCTTTTTCTTTTTTTTTTTTGTTGGCCGTGGGGCTTGAACTCTGGGCCTGGGCACTGTCCCTCAGCTCTTTAGCTCAAGGCGAGCACTCTACCACTTGAGCTACAGCGCCACTTCCAGTTTTCTGGTGCTTTATTGGAGATAGGAGTCTCACGGTCTCTCCTGCCCGGGCTGGCTTTGAACCACAATCCTCAGATCTCAGCCTTCTGAGTAGCTAGGATTACAGGCATGAGCCACCAGCGCCCAACTTAATTTTCTAAAGCTTTTAATTCAAAATAATTTGAAAAACTTTTAAAAATGGCAACATCAGTTTAGAGGGACTGTTGTCCTCATTTAGTAACAAAATATATTACATACAGAATGAAATTGTCATCATAGTTGCCCAAGTAAAACATGACCACCATTTTTTAAATAGACATTCTTTAAAAAATACATACTTTATCTCTTTCAATGGCTTCCAAAAGCACCTTTCTTGATTTTGGAAGATTTTTTTGTATTTTGAAAAGATGTCGGGCTAGTTTGATAGCGTAAAATGATGATTCATTATTTGACTTGGCATTCTTAATGGCATCTTGAAGCAAATGCTCAGCTTCTTCCATGTTTCCATGCCGTCGTTCTAAACTTACTCTTCGCAAGCGAACCATTGCTAATCCTAGAACACATTCTTCAAATGTTCTCAAAATATTCCTGGCTTCGTTAATATTACCTAGAATAGTAATTAAATATTTATGCTTTTGCTTAAACTTCTAAAATATCCTTTACATCACCAGGTTCTGAAAATCATTAGCTCATGCACTATATCTAAACCACTGCCCATCTTGTGAATGAAGTGGAAAAAAAAATTTAAAAAAAATTTATGTGCAAAATGAAACAAAACAGTCAAGTTCACTTATTATGTATTGCTTATGGTTGGTTTTGTAACACAATGGCATTAAATGCCTAAAATAGTTATTGAGTAATATATAGAAAGTGTTTCAAACTCAGCTTAGTACCAGTGGCTCATACCTATAAATCTTACTCAGGAGGCTGAGATCTGAGGATTGTTATTCAAATCCAGCTTGGGCAGAAAAGTCCCCTCCATGAGGCTTCTTCTCTCCAATAAACCACTCAAAACCAGAAGTAGTGCTGTGGCTCAAGTGGTAGAGCATTAGTCTTGAGCACAAAGAGGCTCAAGGACAGCAAACCTGACTTCAAGCCCCACAACCAAAAAAAAAAAAAAAAGTCAACAACAACAAAAAGAATTTGACAAACTTTCTCTTTTTTTCTTTTGTTGACTTGTTTTTGGGGTCATGGGGCTTGAACTCAGGGCGTGGGTGCTGTCCCTGACCTCGTATGCTCAAGGCTAGCTACTACTTTGAGCCACAGCTCCACTTCTGGTTTTCTGGTGGTTAACTGGAGATGAGTCTCAGGGGCTGGGAATGTGACTGAGTGATAGAGTGCTTGCCTAACATACATGAAGCCCTGGATTAGATTCCTCAGTACCACATAAACAGAAAAAAAACAGAAGTGGCAATGTGGCTCAAGTGGTAGAGAGCTATAATTAAGCAAAAGAAGCTCAGGGCCAGTGCCAAGGCATTGAGTATTGAGTTCAAGCCCTACGACAGACCCAAAAAAAAAAAGGTTAAGAAAAGAAAAAAGAAAAGAGGAGAAAAGAGAAGAGAAGAAAAGAGAAGAGAATCTCATGGACTTTCCTGTCCAGGCTGGCTTTGAACCGCAATCCTCAGATTTCTATCTCCTGAGTAGATAGAACTACAAGAACTACAGGTGCGAGCCACCAGCACCCAGCCAAACTCTTCTTTACATATTCCTAATACTCAGTTGCTCTAATTTTACCCTGTAATAAATTCCTAAAATTATCAACTGAACATCTTCATTTCATTCTTACCCTGCTGTTCCTCAAAAGCTGCCCAAAGCATATGCACCATGGGTTTCTTTGGGAGATGAATAGTACACGCTCTGCTGAAGACATGCCTCACTCCTTCAATGCTATGGTTTTCCATGTACTTGGCATACTACATACAGAAAAGAGGAAATACTGAATAATTTACAGTTGTACAAGCCATTAAATATGTGACAGAACGATAAAATTCTATTTTTAAACCCATTCAGCACCTTTATTGAACCACTAGACTAGTTTCTGTAAGGAAGGACGAAGAGAGGCAACGAGGTTGGCATATGCAGCAGTCAAATCTGGTTGCAAGCAGACCATCTCCTAATGCAACAGATATAGTTATATGAACAACATTCAACAGAAGTACAAAAAAGGTTAGTCACTAGATCAATGTTTATAATATATTCAAGTTTAAGAACATGTAATTTTCTTACCTTAATCCAAAATTCCTCATAGAGGGCACATGATATGACACATCTTTCAAAGAGAACCACAACTCGTTCATGAGTCCCATTTTCAATTTCAAATTCTAAATATTCTTTCCAGTTTTTTAGTTGGGCCTTTTCCAGTGGTTTCACATGAAAATAAGGTCTTTTAATCTGTAATAAAATTATAGCACATCAATAAAAATATTGTAATAAACTGCTTATAAAGTAAATAATGACAGCCCGGTGCTGGTGGCTGCTACTTGTAATTCTAGTTCTATTCAGGTGGCTGAAATCTGAGGATCAGTTCAAAGCCAGCCCAGGCAGGAAAGAAAATCTGTAAGACTCATCTCCAAATAACCACCAGAAAACTGGAAGTGGCACTGTGGCACAAAGTAGTAGAGTGCTAGCCTTAGGCAAGAGTTCAGAGACAGTGCCCAGGCCTTGAGTTCAAGCCCCATAATCAACAACAACCAATATTATGGGAAAAATTCATTTTACTATTTATCTAAAATTTATGTTTGTTGTACATAAAAAATAATACAACTAAGTATTTTTTTGACAATTTCATTATCTTTAAATTGTCCCATATAGAGCAAGAGATTTGGTTCAAGCAAGAAAGCAGCTGTGTGACAAGTGCTGTGTTCAAACCTAGTACTCTCCCCACCCCAACTTATTTATTTATTTAGTCAGTCATGGGGCTTGAACTCTGGGCCTGGACACATAACCTGAGTTCTTCAGCTCAGGACTAGCACTCTACTACTTGAGCTACAACGCCACTTCTGGTTTTCTCGTAGTTAACTGGAGGTAAGAGTCTTAAGGGCTTTCCTTACTGGCTTTGAACTGCGATCCTCAGATCTCAGTCTCCTGAGTAACTAGGATTATAGACATGAGCCACTGGTGCCTGGCTTTATTTTTTTTTAATTGTTCTGATTAAATAAGCATTTTGAATTTAACAAGAGTATAACTGGTAATAGAAAATGGTAAGACTAATAATGGTAATAAATGTATACCCTAAAAATTTCTATTTCAATACACAAAAAATAAAAACCAACAGTAAAGATACTGCTATCAAAACTGAAAGAACAATTTCCTTTGTTTATATTTTGAAGACTATAAAAACACTTACACCTTCTTCAAATGTCCACCGTTTACTAACTTCATGTTCATTATAATTAAACATTTCTTGGTGAATTTCAATGATTCTGTGTCTCATGTTCTCTATTTCAGTAATTAGCTTTGAAAGAGAAAGAAAAAAAATGAGTAAGTTATATACAGAAAATTTTCAGTATCTTACATTTAAGATTATCCAGAGATCCTTTACTTTTACAAGTGTTTTTAAAATATTATGCTTTTCACAATTTATAGTACAAAACTTTCTAATAAACTACTTTCCTAGGTATTTTGTGTTTAAGTAGGACTAGCAGACTACGTCTTCAACCAAATATTCCTCCTAAACTTTACGTAATCTGTATTTAAACCATGAGCTAACTAGCCACTAATGTAACTACAACAGCACCACACATGTTGTCAAGGGTCTACTTTCTTATTTACTGAATATTGAGCAATTCTGATTACCTTTGCTGGATCAGTTATGTCTTCAATTCCTGATGGTAAATCATCACCAGGTGGACCATCATCTCCACTATGTCCATTAACAGAAGCTAATTCCCTTCGCAGCTGAATAAACTGTTCACCAGTTAAAAGATCCCTGGGCAAGTTATTCTGTACATGTTCTTTAAATCTAATGGAAAAATAAAAATACATGTTCTATACTTGTGTAATTTTAGATCCCATGTTAAGAATATCTCCTATATATTGTTCTTTCAAAGAAACTGATTTCAAGAATGAATCCAAAATATCATACTCTTTCTCTTAATAAAACTGTCTACAGAGATCTTTCTTCCCACTTTTAGCAGTAGAATGGAAAAGATATGGAGCAAGTACAAATTCAAATACTAGATTTGTCTGCTATTAGTTACCCGCTACTTCTCCAAATCTTTGATTCTTAGCTGTAGAATGAAACAATAAAACCTATCTTGCGAAGTTACAATAAAATTAAAATTGTAAAATGGCCATTTTTAAACCATCAACAAATGTTTGTTCTGTCCTACCCAACCAATTTTGCCTCAATCAAAGGTGCTCAACAATCCAATGAATCCCATGTCCTAAAGTCATAAATTACACCTATCTGTTTTAGCTGGTTCCAGGGTTTGAACTCAAGATGCCCAGCTGGATTGGTGCACCGTCACTTGAGCCATGCTTCCAACTCAACTTTTATTCTTTATTCTGAAGACAGGGTCTTTGGAATTTTCTTCCTCAGCTGGCTTTAAACTCAATCCTCTATATCTTAGCCTACTGAGCAACTAGGATTACAAGCATAAGCCACCAGCAAATGTCCAACCAATTAGCTTTTATACGCGAGTTTCAATTAAGTTTTGTAATACAGGCTCCATCATGCTCTTGGGGGTGTTGCTTGATTCTACAGTTCCCCTCTATTTCCTCTTGATGCTAGGAGTCCCAAGAAGTACACTCCTTATTTTGTGCTCATCTACTTTACATACTTACATATTTTCTGGCCAACCCCATTAATAAACCTTGAAATAATAACTATTCAAGGACATTCAAAACTGAAACTCAATTCACATTTTTCTCCTAAATTCCAGATCAGTGTATCCAACTGCCAACAAACTGCTCAAAAAAATATAAATTGTGGGGCCTGAACTCTGGGCCTGAGCGCTATCCCTCAGCTCTTCAGCTCAAGGCTAGCACTCCACTACTTGAGCCACAGCGCCACTTCCGGGTTTTTTCTTGTTGCTTATGTGGTGCTGAGGAATCGAACCCAGGGCCTCAGGCATGCAAGGCAAGTGCTCTACCACTGAGCCACCTTCCCAGCCCTTTTCTTTTTCTTTGGAGACAGGGTCTCACTATGGAACCAGGCTGGTCTCAAAATCATAATCCTTTTGCAACATGCACCATTATTTAAAAAAATGTGGCATGAGAATGAAGATTTAATATTCAGGTTAATACTAAAAGTCAAAACTGTCAGATTATACTTTAAAAGCTGGAAATTAAAAATTAACTTCTTACAGTACACAGATATTTAAAATAAGTAAATGCCACATAATATGAAAGCATTACTTTTTTAAAAAGGTGAGAGAACATGTAGCAGTAATTCATTATGGTTGGAGTATAAAGCTAATGTTAAAAGTCATCTAAGTTGTGATAATCTTGTAAGAAAACATGTTTCCATCTAATAAAAATCTTACTTAACATTTCAAAAGAATTATGGTATTAGAATTTAATCAGTTGAGTAACTAAAGATACAGCAAAGATCAGATTTTTTAACCTACCTTTGAAAATGGTGACTATAAAGCTGTGTTGGGATACCAAGAATACGATCATATATAGCTGTAACTTCTCTCAGATTTCCTTGTTCATTTTCCCAGTTTATATACATTTCCCACAGTCTGTCAGATCGGAAATCTGTTCCTGCAGCTAGAACAGCATGCTCAAAAGTTCTGAAAAATTAAATTACTCTTAAGTTATCTTTCCAAAAAAAATCATTTAAAAAATACTGTATAAATTTAGAAAATAAAATGCTGAATCCAACAAGTTATTTATTTAGTTGCTTTCTACGCAAGTAAGGATTAAAAAGTAGAAGTACTAATTGGAAGCATAGAAGATTTGCTTAAAAGTGTGGAAAAAAATATGAAGGGATAGGAAATTATACTTTTTGTTTCTTTGTTTGGGCTGATCCTGGGGCTTGTACTCTGGGCTGGGGCACTGTCCCTGAGCTTTTGTGCTCAAGGACAGCACTCTACCACGTGAGCCACAGGTCCATTTCTGGCTTGCCTATTTTTTTTTTAAGTGTAGTGGAAATAAATCTCAAGGACTTTCCTGCAGGGCTGGCTTCAAACCGTGATCCTCAGATCTCAGCCTCTTGAGTACTAGGATTACAGTGTGAGCCACCAGTGCCAGCAGGAAAGTATACTTTTTGTCTAAATTCCTTACATAAAATTTAAAATGACATGGCACAATGTATAGATTTCAAGCAACTTAAGACTGTCACAATTGATAGTTTAAGGATCAAGCTTGTAATGTACAGATTCATTTAGGCAGAAGATAAAATAAGGATTCAGGGAGGCAAATCTTACCTCAATTTAAGGAATAGTTCCTAGCAAAAATAACTCTGACAAGGAATCCAGTTGCCTTGTAAGGTAATGAAAAGTATACATATATTTTAAAACTTTCAAAAGCCCTTCCCAATGATAAAATTTTATACTTACAAAATTAAGGCAAAAGCAAGTATTTTAAACTACCTACCTCACTTCAAGAGATTTCTATCAATTTAAGTAACTACATTTGCTTTTTTCAATGAAATAAAACTTTTGGATATGTATTTTCAAAATAAAAACATTAACATCACAAGGCTTTCAAAATAGTATAAACTAAACTCCCAGTTTGGAGACATAGTTTAAATGGTAGAGGAGAACCCTAAATTCAAACCTCACGCCACCCACAAGATCCTAAACTTCCTAAACTAATTTACAATTCCATCAAACCTCTAATGACTTCTAGGTAGTATTAAAAATGCAAAATGGAGCTGGTAGTTATGATGCTTGCCTTAAATTACTCAGGAGCCTGAGACAGGAAGATCACAAGTTCCAAAAGCTTATAGAGCAAAACCCTACCTCATTGGGTGAAAAAGAAAAAAGAAAAAAAGTTTAAAAAGACACTGGAAATAAATATTTTAAAAAAAGGCAAGCTAGAAGAAAAATGTTTAATAAAGAGATACAGAAATAAAAGATTAAATGTGTGAATATGCATGTTTTGAGTAAAGGGAGAATAATATAGATGATACGATCTCCAAACAACCTGAAAGTGATTCAGGAAATTCATGAAGCAGATACTAAGAAAAGTCTGGGGGGCTGGGAAGATGGCTCAGCAGTAGAGCGCTTGCCTTGCAAGCCTGAGGTACTGGGTTCGATTCCTTAGCACCACATAAGCAAAAAGAAAAAAGCTGGAAGTGGCGCTGTGGCTCAAGTGGTAGAGCGCTAGCCTTGAGCTGAAGAGCTGAGGGACAGCGCCCAGGCCCAGAGTTCAGGCCCCACAACCGGACCCCCCCCCCAAAAAAAAAAAAGTCAAGTCTGGGAAAAGGGAGGAGAGTAAAGTAATGAAATAAAGACAGAATTTTTAGATGAAGGTCTGCTTAATGAGTAGTTGGGAATCCTCAACTCCCTTAATAAAGGTTATATATGACAAACCTACCTATAGGCAACATCATGTTAATTGGGGAGAAACAGATCATTTCTCCTGAAACCAGGAACAAGACAAGGGTCTCCAGTCTCCCTACTCTTGTTCAGCATAATACTAGAAGTTCTAACCAATAAGATAGGGCTGGAGCAAAAAAAAGGGATTCAAATAGGGAAAGAAGAAATAAAATTATTCCTATTTGCTGATATGACCATGTACTTAAAAGATCCTAACAGATGCCACTAAAACACTTCTAGAACTGCCAAAATTTTTGGAAGGGTAGCAGGATACAAACTCAATAACCAAAGATGAATAGCTTTTCTATATACCAACAATAAATTAGCTGAGAAAGAAATCAGGAAAACAATTCCACTCACAATAGTATTCAAACAATAAATGCCTAATTATTATTAACCAAGGAACTGAAAGACCTCTACAATAAAAACTTTAATAAAACCTTGAAGAGCTAGATACTGGTGGCTCACACCTGTAATCCTAGCTACTTAGGAGGCTGAGACCTAAGAACTGCCGTTCAAAGCAAGCCTAGTCAGGAAAGTCTGTGAGACTCTCATCTCCAATTAACTACCAGAAAATGAGAAGTAGCACTGTGGCTCAAAGTGGTAAAGTACTAGCTTCAGCCAAAAGAGCTCAGAGACAGTGTCCATGCCCTGAGATCAAGCCCCACAACTTTCAAAAAAAAAATAAAAGAAAGAAAAGAAAAGAAAAAAGGAAGAAAAGAAACACTTGAAGAAATTGAATAAGACATCAGAAATATAAAGATCTCTCATACTCATGGATAGGCAAAATTAGGATAGGCTGCACTGCCAAAGCAATCTACCATTTCACATAATTTGTGAAATCAATCCAAAAGTTCATAGAAACATAAAAGACCCCAGGTACCAAAAATAATTCTAAGGAAAAAGAGTACCCATGGAGGTTATCATAACACTAGATTTCAACTTATACTATAACCGTAATAACAAAAACTGGTAATAGCCCAAAAACACATAAGACTATAAAAGACCCCAAAATAACTTACATAGTGACAGCTAGCTGATTCGTTTTACAAAGAAGCAAAAACATACAATGGAGAAAAAACAGGTTCTTTTGACAAATCATGCTGGGAAAACTGAGTATCCACCTGCAGAAGACTGAACCAAGACTTTTGTCATTCTGTACCAGAATCAACTCCACTTGGATCAAAGAGCTTAAAGTAAGACCTGAAATTTTAAACTTACTATGAGAAAATGTAAAGGAATTTCAGCAAAGTATATGCTCAGGTAAATCTTTTCTGACTAGAACTTTAGAAGCCTAGAGGTTGGGAGCAAGAATTGCCAAATGGGACTCTATCACATAAAAATGGCTGTATAAGAAAAGAAACAAACACCAGAATATACAAAGAACTAACTAAAAGAAATATCAAACAGTAAAAGCACAAATAGCCTAATAAATTAATGAGCAAGTAAACTAAGCAATTTTCAAAAGAGATACAAATGGCTAATAGATATGATATATATGATATATTCAATATCTTCATCCATAAAAGAAATTCAAAGATGAACAATACTAAGACTCTATCTCATCACAACCGAAATGCCAGCAGTCAAAAAAAAAAAAAAAAAGGTAGAATGTGGCCTAGTATTTGAGTGCTTGCCTGGCATGCATAAAACCCTAGTTCAATTCTTCAGTACCACATAAACCAAAAAAGCCAGAAGTGGTACTGTGGCTCAAGTGGTAGAATGCTAGATTTGACCAAAAGAAGATCAGAGACAGGCCAGGCGCCGGTGGTTCACGCCTGTAATCCTAGCAACTCAGGAGGCTGAGATCTGAGGATCGCAGTTCAAAGCCAGCCCGGGCAGGAAAGTCTGTGAGACTCTTTTCTCCAATAAACCACTAGAAAACCGGAAGTGGCACTGTGGTTCAAGTGGTAGAACGCTCGCCTTGAGCTGAAGAGGGCAGGGACAGCACCCAAGCCCAGAGTTCAAGCCCCATGACAAAAAAAAAAAAAAAAGAAAAGCTCAAAGACAGTGCCCAGGCCATGAGTTTAAGGCCCAGGACTGGGGGGAAAAATGTTGGCAAGGACTGGGGGTGGGGGGAGAGTAAGCACTACAGAGGTCTCTGAAAAGACTAAAAATAGGGGCTGGGAAGGTGGCTCAGTGGTAGAGTGCTTGCCTTGCATGCATGAGGCCCTGGGTTCGATTCCCCAGCACCACATAAGCAAAAAGAAAAAAAGCCAGAAGTGGCGCTGTGCTCAAGTGGTAGAGCACTAGCCTTGAGCTGAAGAGCTGAGGGACAGTGCCCAGGCCCAGAGTTCAGGCCCCACGACCGGACCCCAAAAGAAAAAAAAAAGAAGAAAATGAAAAGACTAAAAATAGCCTTTCCTTGGTATCTGAATCAATATATTGGGCATATACTTGAGAATAAATCAACATACTAAAAAGATAACATGCATAATTATGCTCAATGAAGCTCTGTTCACAATAGCCAATAGCCAAATGATAGAATCAGTTGATATGCCCAACAACAGATAAATGGATAATGAAAAAAAAATGTATATATATACACCCACACACTATAATGTTACAAAGCCAGATGCTGGTGGCTCACACCTATAATCCAAGCTACTCAGCAGGCTCACATCTGAGGATCATCATTCTAAGCCAGCCTGAGCAGGAAATGTGTATGAAACTCTATCTCCAATTAATCTCAGAAAAAGACAGAAGTGGTGCTGTGGATCAAGTGGTAGAATACTAGCCTTGGGCAAAAGTAGTCTAGAAAACAATGACCAGGCCCAGAGATCAAGGCCCAGGACTAGAAAAAAAAGAAAAAAGAAATTGTCCTCTCCCCCTGCCCAAATAGATGCACTTGGAGAACATCATACCAAATGAGACAAGATAAGCTCAAAAAAACAAAATATTTTGTTTTTATTCATGTGGAAGCTAGGCCTAAAATATATATTCATACACATATTAATACATTTACAAAATTATATGATAAATAGAACATGAAATCATCTAAGACTATGTAGAAGATAGGAAAGGAGGAAAGGAAAAATAGGTGATGACTATTTTAAAATATATTTAGAAAAATGAAGAATATGGCCAAAATTATTTGGTAACAATTATGAAAACTGAACAAAGAGACCTGTGGAAATTGTTTCAGGAAGAAAGGGAGAGTAAAAGAGGAGCAGGTTTATTTGAATATATTGTAAACGTGTGAAAATATAACAATGAAATTTCCTTCAATTTAACTAAGGCAATACAATAGTTAAAAGAGAGAAAGAAATCTTTAACTTTTTAACATTTAACTGAGTAAATTCTGCCCAGTTATGGAGCCTCAGAAGATAGCACTGTAATCCCAGCACTTGGAAGGGTATCGCAGGATGCCAAGTTCAAGGACATCCTGCATTCACAGAATTGGGGGATGGGAATGTATAAGATGCTTGTCTCTATAATCAGGGGATATAAATCAAGAAAATGTGGAATCTAACAAACAAACAAAAAAAGACATGAAACCCAGGAGTGATGTAAAGACATATGCAACAGTCTAGATTGCAAGTTCACGTTTCAGGATAGAGTTCCCAGAGGGTGGACAAAAAAGGGGGGACTTACAGAATATCTGATAACATCTATTTGGAAAACCATATGTAAAGCCTTTCATTAAACAGATGAGAAAAATGGAAGAGTATTAACACCAGGAAAATAAGACAACAGAAGACCAGTATGATGGATAATATTTCTAAGATTCAGGGTAAATAAAATACACCCCTCCAATCTACATACTATGATATTTGTTAAAACCTACTGAAAAGGCAAGATACAAGTGTTCTAAAATTCTTATCTACTATAAGACTCATAATATCTACAACTAATGAGAAAAAGTATAATTACTCACACATATATATGTTTATATACACATAGTATATACAAAAAAGGGAAATGGAGAAAGCTTTCTGTTTTAAGCACATTACCAGTAGCTTCATAAGCTATATGGATTTAACTTCTGAAACAAATATACATTAACAAATTCCTATAATGCAGAAGAAAAAAACAGAAAATGAGCATATATGAATAAGCAATTTAAAAAATGGCTCAGGACTGGGAATATAGTTCAGTGGTAGAAAACCTGCAGAGCATGCAGACAATCCTGGGTTCAATTCCCAGCACCAGTTAAAAAGTATATGAAAGGGGGGCGGGGGGCAGGGAGGATTGGGGGGGAGGATGGGAAGGGATGTAAGGGTAAACAAAGGAGGAGGCTACAATGCTTGATAAGAAATGTACTCATTATCTTGCCCATGTAATTGTAAATCCTCTGTACAGTATTTTCACAATAAAATAAAAAAGTATATGAAAGGATGAAAAACCAGGATAAGTAATCTAGACATACTCTAATTTAAAACAAAGTAATAGCACAGAGGAAAAACAAAAACAAAAGTATTTAACAATGACATGGAAAATTACTTTTATAAATTGTGGGGGTTAAAAATTGATACCATTGGGGCTGGGAAGGTGGCTCAGTGGTAGAGCGCTTGCCTTGCATGCATGGCATGCACCACATAAGCAAAAAGAAAAAAGCCAGGAAGTGGCACTGTGGCTCAAGTGGTAGAGTGATAGCCTTGAGCTGAAAGCTGAGGGACAGCGCCCAGGCCCAGAGTTCAGGCCCCACGACCGGACCCCTCCCCCAAAAAATTGATACCATTCCTGAGAAACATTTGATAAACATTCTCTGTATATTTCCTTTGCCACTTACAGCATTCTATATAAACACTGATTTGTACAGAGATGTTCACAGAACTGTTTATTTCCTGTAAAGTAAGGATCTGGTCATCCAAAAAAATATAATACATAGAAATTATATTTTACAATAATTAACATTGGTAAATAGTTGAATGACAATACAATAAATACAAATACGAGTATGTATGTTATATAAATGTGAAAATGCACATATTAGCCCATTAAAAATGAAACTGAAAGTAGGAAGGCATTATTACCTTCATTTAAAAAATATTAAAACATTTCAAAATATGTAAACATTTCAAATAAGAAAACGTTAAGTGTATAATTTCTTTTAAATACTGGGAAAAAAGAATAAGGATTAAACTTCCAGGAACAGTTCTATTATCAGCATTAAGATACTTATTAATATTCTTAATCACAATTAAATATCTAAGCTTTACATACCCTCTTACTGTACTGTTTGTCTCAGGATCACCAGGTTCCAACGTTTCTTTTAAGAAGTTTATATAATGTATCCAAAGGTCAACACTAAGAGGTATTGCCTGAAGTCCCCGTCTATAAACCTAAGAAGAAAACAATAAGCTGTACTTCAAATATTTAATTATTTCTTAACAGAGAGGCAACACTGTGATATCCGGTGAACCTTAGAAATACTAATTACTGGAATTTTGTTTAAATAATCTACCATTACCATTTGGGTGGAGGTTGGATAGAACATGGCAATGTTCTGATCCCCACGTGCAGAGTCTTGATCTTCAAAGCGCAGCAGTCCCTGCATTCTGACCGGGTTGTGTGGGCAGGCTTTGGGTTACAGACCATAGGGCACAGACCCATTAGAGCATCAATGACAGCGTCTGACCAAAAATGCAATAAGACGTAGCAAATGTGACTAGAAAACCAACTATATTGTTTGGAAAATGAGAAATAAATGTAAGTGAGAGAAAAGCCCTGCCCTACTTGTTAAGCTGCAGTGTAATACAGAGGCTTGCACTGCAAAGCTTGACAAACTGTAGAGGTTTAACGCACCTGCCAACAAAGAGAGAAAATATTAGCTACAAATGCCACAAAAGTGACAAATGCAAATAAAATACCCTATAAAAATTGTTTGACCGTAAATGGTAGGTACTGTCAGCCAAAGAAAAGTCCTTGTTTTGTTATTAATTGGCTTACAGTACCTAATGGAGATTAACTTTATTCAGTTGATGTACGCACCTCATCTGATTGTTTAATGTTGTCATGTCGCTTTTCAAGGTCTGCATACTTTTTCCAGTAACCATAGCAATAAGGATAGTGTATGAAAAACTTGTCAAATGCTTTCCTGGCAGCCATCAAGTGATTCTGATGAAAATGAAACAAGGCATTTAAGTATTTTAGAAGTATATATTTAAAAAAAATAAGAAACTAACTGTCATATATAAGGACACCAACTCCTCCCCTATAAGTGCTGGAGCCAAACGTAGGGCCTCATGCATGCTAAGCAGATCTCTACTTTTGAGTTATACTGAGCTATGCCCCTGTATTCCAAGATAAATGTATTTCAGTAAATTTATACATAAACACACATACACACACCTTGAATTATTACACACTAACCTCCATTTAATGTTATTAAACTTAACCTGAAAATTATTTTAAATCAAACTTCGATTATAAAACAGTAAGGCTTAAACTGACATTGCTGTACTAATCTGCTTATCTGATGACATTTAAATAGTTACTAACCTCTTGTTCTACATACTGAAGCAAATATACCCATCCTGTAAAATCTTGAGGATTATTTTCTATAGTTTTCCAAAATTTTTCATATTCTGGAGGGAAATTTGCTTCCGTTTCTGTCACTGTCACTGGAAGGTCCACAGCATTGGCCATTTCATTTTCTTCTGTCGATGGGTTCACATTGGGAGAACCATCAGGTGACTGTTCCATTTCCGTAACATTCATAATCTCAGTGCTAAAATCAGCAGACTGTTCTACCTCTGAACTGTTGTTGCCTGTGCTGCCATTGTTAGAATTTTTGTACTCTTCCATGTGAGAATTTTGCATAGCTGTGTCTCCTCAATTAATGATCTGTGAAAACATACACACACAAAATAAAACTCTTCCAAATGCTAATAAAATTACTTGGCATGAACACTTTGTAAAAGACTTAATTTGAAGCCGGGTGCCGGTGACTCAAAACTGTAATCCTAGCTACTCAGGAGGCTGAGATCTGAGGATCATGGTTCAAAGCCAGCCCAGGCAGGAAAGTCCATGAGACTCTTATTTCCAATTAACCACCAGAAAACTGGAAGTGGTACTGTGGCTCAGGTGGTTAGAGTGCTCACCTTGAGCTGAAGAGCTGGGGGACAGCACCCAGGCCCAGAGTTCAAGACACACACACACACACACACACACACACTTAATTTGATCCATTTGTTGCAAGTAATACAAATCATACCTACTGAGGGACAGCACCCAGGCCCAGAGTTCAAGACACACACACACACACACACACACACACACACACACTTAATTTGATCCATTTGTTGCAAGTAATACAAATCATACCTACTGGTTACAGTTTAAACACAAGGAGTTTCTGCTTTACCTGGGTTTCAATTCAGTGTCTAGAGCTTGCTAGGCAGACAGCTGTTCTACTGCTAAACAATGTCCTCTTTCTATTTTAGCTTTAACTTTTTCTTACCCCCATATGAGGTCACAGTCTCCTATATGCTCAGAGCCAGTCTTAGAACAAGATCTCCCAACTATACCCTCTGGATAACTGAGATTTTATATATTTATATATATATAAATATATGTGTGTATATATATATACATATATGTATATATCACCATGCCCAGTTAATATGTAAGATTGGGCTCCTTTAACTTTTATAACCCAACTGTCCTCACTCCTGTTGATCTCCACCTTCTGAAGATAGCAGAATTATAGCTGTAAGCCACTGTACCCTATTTGTACTTTTTTTGGGGGGGGTCAATTGTGGACCTTGAACTCAGGGCCTGGGCACTGTCCCTGAACTTTCATTTAAGCACTCTACCATTTGGGGCCTCAATGCCACTTCTGGCTTTCTGGTGGCTAATTGGAAATAAAGAGTCTCACAGACTTTGCTGCCCCAGCTGCCTTTGAACTGCAATCCTCTGATCTCCTGAGTAGTTAGGATTAGAGCATGAGCCACCACCACCTGGCTGTTTGTACTTTTGAGATAGAATCTTGCTAGTTTAACCCAAGCCAACTCTTGATCCTCCTGCTTTGGCTATACCAAGAGCTAGAATTACTGTAGGCATAAATCACCAGAGCTGGCACAGATAGTATTTGTTAAATTTCTTAGTCATTTATTGAGTACTTTGTGGACCTAAATTGTTTAAGTGATGTCCAAATTCAAGGTAGGAATAAAGTGGTAGAAGCTTCAGTAGTTACAATTACTCTTCATAACCAGAAGAGTAAATGCTTTTCCAAACTCTGTAGCATATTACTTTGAACAAAATCAGTATTTACTAATAAGGAGAATGCAAGGTAGAGGAGATACTGGGTAGGCAATTACAGATGTACACCAGAAAACATACACCATTTCTAGAGACAAACTGTCGCCATCTCCCCAAATCTAACATACACATATTCTTTGATCAAGAAGTTATACTTAAGTTTTTGTTACTCTGAAGTATTTATAAAGGATTTGATAAAAGTACAATTTTTTAGGGTCTCAGATTCACTAAACAACTAGTAAACCATTTACTAGTTGACTTTCTGGGTTACTAAACTTAAAAAAAATTGTATAAGCTAGAAAATCCCACATTTTTCAAGTAGCTTGCAAAAATTATAGCCAACTAACATATAATTTGTTTTGCTCTAACAAAACTATCTCATTTTCCCCAGTTGAATTAAGGGACTGCAGACAAATCAAACAAACAAACAAACACAGTATTCACAGGCAGGGAAAACATCTGTCAGAACTAACACTTTCGTTGAATTTTATTTTTTAATGGGTATAAATCCTGACAGATTCGCACATGTAGGCAGTCCTTAAGTATTGTCATCCTTGTGATATCATCAACATAGATATTAGAATCAGAAAAGTTCCCTTCTACTGTATGACTTTTGACCAATTTATCAATTCTTCTAACTTTAAACCACTTCGGGCTCTAGGGAAAAAAAATTCTCAATTTGTTTTGCTCTTTTTTCCCCTTTAAAAAAAAGCCTACCTAAAGGTTACATTTCTATTTTTTTTGGGGGTCCAGTTGTGGGGCCTGAACTCTGGGCCTGGGCGCTGTCCCTCAGCTCTTCAGCTCAAGGCTAGCGCTCTACCACTTGAGCCACAGTGACACTTCCGGCTTTTTTCTTTTTGCTTATGTGGTGCTGAGGAATGGAACCCAGGGCCTCAGGCATGCAAGGCAAGCGCTCTACCACTGAGCCACCTTCCCAGCCCCAAGGTTACATTTCTATATGCAAAACAGTACTTGGTTTGTGGTTCTTAAAATTTCACAGCTCAGCTAAAAAAAATAATGTTGGTTTACACATTCTGAGTCATCTACTACCTACTCTAATTGCATACTCAAATGTGATATAATGGTTAGTCTGGAATCAGCAAATTTACCACACCCTAACATCTTTGAAGACTGTCTGTTACTCCACACCCTACAATTACGGAGTTGTAAGAATTAGGAACATCCACCTTAACCTTAGGGAAATCATTTTGAGGATTACTTCACAAACCACAGGTTGAAAAGAAGCTAACTATAGTTATTTTAAAAGCATGCCTGTCCCTTTCCCCAGTATTTTGAGGCAGTGTCTCACTAAGAGGCCCAGGCTAGTCTGGAACTCACTCTCCTCCTCTCCCCACTTGTATTACAGTACACTTGGCCAAGATATTCTTTATAATGGGTTAATTACTATGTTCAAATTTATTATTTATTTTTGGGCTAATACTGAGGGACTGAACTCAAGGCCTCCTCTTTGGCTCACCTTTTCACTAATAGCTGGTGGTCTACCAGTTGAGTCATACCTTCAGTTCAGCATTATTGCTTGTCAAACTCGAGTCTTGCAGACTTTTCTGCCCATGCTGGCTTTGAACAGCAATGTTCAGATCTTAGCTTAAGTAGCAAAGATTATAGGCCTGAGCCACTGGTGCCCAGCTTCCTGTTTATTTTTAACAGTCAGCAACTTCCAACTAGCAACATAAAATAGCAAAGAGAACAGAGTAAGTTTTAAAAAGAAGAAAACAATATGGTACTGACATTAAGATAGACAAATCAGGGCTGGGAAGGTGGCTCAGTGGTAGAGTGCTTCCTTGCATGAATGAGACCCTGGGTTCAATTCCTCAGCACCACGTAAGCAGAAAAAGCCAGGAGTGGTGCTGTGGCTCAAATGGTAGAGCACTAGCCTTGTGCTGAAGAGCTGAGGGGCAGCACCCAAGCTCAGAGTTCAGGTCCCACAAATGGAAAGAAAGAAAAAAAAGACAAATCAATTAATGGAACAGAGATAAATCTTCCTGTAATATGATCAGTCTTTGCTCCACAAGAAAAGGACACTCTGCAACAAATACTGTTAGGGAAACTGGAGTCTCACATACAAAAGAATGAAGCTGTGTATTTTTCTCCATTATATATATATACTAAAAATAGATTAAAGACCCAAATGTAAAACCTAAAACTATATAAAACTCCAGAAGAAAATAGTGGGAAGACTTCAAAGTGAACTTAGCAATGATTTCATAGATGACACCCCCCCAAAAAAAAGGTAATAAAAGCAGACAAATAGGACCTCAAACTTAACATTTTTGTGCATCAAAAGACACAATCAGAATCTTTACTCTCATTTCTTACATGGGGAGCAGGGAACTCATTTTTCCATGTATCCTTATTTTATCCTATTATATATAATTCTTGCTGAATTTTTAAAAAATAAGCCACAATCAAGCTTGTTGTGATGGAACTAGCATCCAAGAGGCAGAAGGAGGATTCAAAATTTGAAACCTACTTTTAACCTGGTTTAAAAATAAATTTAAAAAAATGTGAAGACATTCTCCAAATATGATACAGAGGCTGGGAATGTGGCTGAGCGATAGAGTGCTCATGTAGCATGCATGAAACCCTGGGTTCAATTCTTCAGCATCACATACACAGAAAAGGCCAGAAGTGGTGCTGTGGCTCAAGTGGTAGAGTGGCTACCTTTAAGTAAAATAAGCTAAGGGACGATGCTCAGGCCCTGGTTCAAGCCCCAGGAGTGGCAAAAAAAGAAGAAAAAAAAAAGATGATACAGAAAGAATCTACAAGTATAAGAGATTTTCAACCTTTTTTTTTTTTTTTGGG